GCCCTTGGGAGAAGTGGGGGCGTCAGACGTGGTAGTGGATACACTTTGTTTGTACTCACTTGTACAAACCCATTCATCACTAGAATCACCATATTTATCACCAATGTAAGTGCCCAAAAATACAAAATTATAGATTGCTTTCTTGTCAAAATTATCATCACCAAATAATTCAAAATAATTACTACCACAATCGTCCAAAATTTTCATACTGTCAATCAACTCTTTTGGAGCAAAATATTTTTAAATTCCAGTTATTTATGAAATTAAATATCTTTCCATCATATTGAAGAGAGTCCAAACCAATAAAATTTACAAGAATTGCTTTTTTTTTCCTATACCAAATCAAACTTTCCCTCCTCCTTTATCAAATTATCACATGGTTTTTCTATAACAAATTCATCAATTCGAATTTCTCCAAATAAGGTATGCAAATCAAAACAATCAACTGATTCAAAATTTTCAACATCACCCATATCATCAACAAATCTATCATTTTCAAAATCAACAAACCAATACCAACAACCAGATTTCCGTTTAAAAGCATAATTTTTCTCAATTGTCTGCAAAACATAGTAAATATCCTTCCAAAATCTCCAAATATTTTAGTACAATGAACAAAAGTTTTGTAAATACTTTCTGCCATTGTTTTATGCATCACTTGAAAACATGTTTTGGCAACTCACTTGCATCAACCCAACAAAGAATATCATCCAAATTACATTGTTTGAGATATTTTTCCACTGTTAAAACCCAACCAAAATATTTATGTCTATTTGTGCTTATAGGAGTCAATATGGCAAAATTTTCGCCATCAATTAGATCTCTATAATATTCTGCCATTATTTAACAATTCATATACATAAATTTTTATCTCCTTTTTGCCAAGTTTTCCTAGCATCCCTAGTTGATTGACCAATCAAATCCTTTAATCTTAAAACCCGCAACAATCAACAAATCTGACAGGTTTCCACTCCAATCTCTGTCTTCACATCTGCAACAATCCAACAATTTTCGGACCAATGTTATGGTCCATTTCTTTACCAACTACACACTTCTAGACCAACTTTGTGGTCTAACTCGATTAACTGAATATTTTTTGGCAACTTTGTGCCATAATTCTCTAACAATGGAAACATTTAGGACTAACCTCGTAGTTTGACTTTGACACCAATTGTAGAACCCAAATTTTAGAATTTTAATAATAATCAATGCGTGCAAAGTTACAGAATTCAAAGGATAAGACAAACACTCAAAATATATATGGGAGAGAAGAAAATAATAAACTCAAGTCATAATATTATTGAAATCACAAGCAATGAAGAAAGTCACATTACAATAAAAAAAAATCTGACAAACTCTTTTAGTTTCTCTTTAGAAAATATCTTAAATAATGTCCTATTTATAATCTATCAAATTTGTTAGGAAAGAAAAAACTTGCATAAGAAATTACCAAATAAAACACAAATTCCTAAATCACACAACTACTAAAAACCTAACTCCAATAAAACTAATAAATAAATACTTTTAGGCTTGGTTCAATTTGCCAATTGTGGTTAGTGTGTTCAAGTTAATGTCTTTATATAGTGTTTGATGCATGAAGAATATATGGAGTACTTTAATTCCATTTGGAAGCTTCAGAGTATGAAGCATACAATGGTATCGTGCATGCGTGTAAGACAAGCGGGTAACAACTTGATCGCATCCCACTGCAGGTTTGGTGTATATGCTTCAGATCAAGTCAAGACGGACAATGTCAAATCTAAGATTAGAATTTTGGGCTGAATGAGGTAGGAGAAATGTATTAGGTAGCTTTACAAGAAAACTTTATAATTATCAAGTTAAACATAAACTATAATTGGCAAAAAGGATATGTACCAAGGTCGGTCTAGAAGAATTAAACCTCTAGCTAGTTAATAATCTTTAGATGTGATATTAGAACGAACCACAGCATTTTGCGATGTTGGCTAGTCCGAATTCATGGAGATTGAGGCGAGTGATTTGTTGAAGGATATTTTGAAACTGAATCGTGAAGATGGCGGTTGACTTACAATTTAATGTTCTCAAACGAGTTCCATTGTTACTGGTGTATACCCAAAAGTATACAACTATAGGGTGGAAAGATACCTAAGAAAAACTGTGTAAAAGTTAATTTACATGATCCAAATGTTGCGTTTTACAGTATGTTGTTGAATTGCATACATTATTCTTGTTCTTCGACACCCCCCCCCAACACACATCTTCCCCCGCTCAAAAAAAAACGAAAGAAAAAATGGCACGCGCGCACACACGCATCATTGGGTTGAGTTTTATTGGACAAAGCAGTTCATACAAGCATGTATGTTATAAGCTGCATAATACCTTGAAATTCATAACTTCAAAAATGTCTAAAATAGAAAAACAAAAGTAAAGTACAATATGCGATGCTTACGTACAATATCAAAAGCATGTATTCTTCCCAGAGAGTTGTAAAGACTAGGATATGTAGTATGGCCTCCATTGTTTTGTTTCAATTGCATGGTTTTTTTGGAGACATGTTGCAGTTCAAGCAACTAATGGATCTACCTCCATCTCACGGCCTTAATCTTTTGCTGGTACCATAGAAGTGGGGAAGGAGGTATTGCTCAAACACAAAAGCATTTGGGGAAGTTTAACAAATGTTACCTTCTTTAATTTTCTGTAATATCCCTAAAGCAAGAAATTTAGGAGGTGCTTGTTTCATAGATTAGAATCGGAAATGGAAATGGAATCATAGACTCTGATTTTGGAATTAAACTTTTCATTCCAATACCTTAACTTGGTTCACACACTGGAACTAGCATCATTCCAATTCTTGATGCTTGGTTTGACGAGTGTTTCGGAATTAAATGCAATTAAATTTCAAATTTAGCCCTGATATAAAAATTTGGATAACCATCTAGACTGGTCGACACAATTGTAAAGCTGCAGAAATTCTCCAACTCTAACACCTCATCATCATTCCATTCAATGGCCTTAATATTCCCTTCCTCCAATTTCTTCACAACCTTTTCCTTGGAAAAATGTCTGCATTGTTTGGAGGATGTGACGGGTATTTTACATACATGCAAGTTAAAAAAAAACCGAATTACACCCGTTCACTGCAAGTATACAGATCAACTAGTAGTTTAGGGTATATATCGGGTCGATCCCACAGGGAAGAGTGAACAATTACCGGTATTACTAAAGTTTCTCTATTATTTAGACTATCAATGAATTATAACAAATTAAAACCTACTAAAATTATTCAAGAAAATAGCAAATGAAAGCTCCTTAGGTTGTGGTATCCCTAACTACTCATGCAAGTGCTATATTTGGATCATTGAATACTATATCTAGGCTAGTTATGGTATAATTTCCTTAAACATGTGAAACCTACTTTCGTAGTGAATCAACTATACTCATAACTAATCCATACCTATTTTCATGGATATGAAATTAGCTACAAGTTCATTTCTTCAATGAAATTACATGAAATGAATCACTAAAAACCACATAAGTGCACCTCTACTTTCGTGAGTGTACTCCCTATGTTTAGCACTTCTTGAACTAGTGTTAAATCTCAATTTTCATTGCAGAAACAACACCTTAGATAATCACAATCAATGGTACCAGATTAATCATGATTTAAGAAGCCAAAGTGCTAAATAACTTGCTCAAGTCATAGTAATCAAATAACCAAATAATAAACACTAACAATCATAGACAGTTCAACCAAACCCAAGGCATAAACTTTAGAAACACATAATGAACACAAAATCCAGAACTTGTATATTAACTAAACTTGGAATCAAATACAAAAGATAAAGAGTTTGGAAGGAATACAACCCTTGTCACATGAGCTTTCTTCCTTGCCTTCTTCATCCTCCATCTTCATCCTAATCTAGATAATAAACAAGAATGGATGAACTATACTACTCTATACTAAGCTAAACTAACACTAGGGAGATGAAAGAGCTACATTTCTGCAGCTTCAAGCTTTCTCCCGTAGCTCACTCTATTTTTCTGCTATGGACTCCCATCTCTGCTATCTACTCCCCATCTCTCCCCTTTTGCAATCAATTTGGCTATTTAATGATGAAAGGTGGTCAAGAAATGAAGCTTTACACTTTCTCCTTACAGCTGGTAATGTCTCTCACATGTCTAGCATCACATGTGAGTTGGTGGAGGTGAAATTGAGTTTTCCGCGTAAAAAGCAACCTTCTCTGACCACAATCGGGCCAGGAATCCGGCCACAATCCGGCCAAATTTCGGCCGGACTGCTACAGTAAATCTGGGCTGCTACAGTGATCCAAGCTGCTACAGTACCTCGGATCCACTAACCCAGAAACAGCCGAGGGTTCAGATGAATAGTGGATCCGAGTGTGGATCACTTGCTCTGTTTTTGGCTCAACTTCAACCGATCTTTTCTTGATGTTAGAGGCTGAACCAGCTCATGTCTAAAACACGAAAGTTGTAGCCTTTTGAGTTATCTTTCCAATGCATCAAGAATCACCTCATTTGGATCTGTGTAGGCCGAGATATGACTGAAATACCCTTGCCTGCTCCATGCCTTGTTCCAGTTTCGACCAATAGCAATTGACTCTGTACTTCGGCTTTTTGACCTAGAAAACCTTCAAACTGGATTCAGATGTCTTCATCAAAGTTGTAGATCTATCTCTTATCTTCAAATGGGTTCAAGAATCATCCCAATCCGATCATTATAACTCAAGTTATAGCCGAAATACGAAAATATGTCAAAACTGTCAAAATACACAAAATCCAAGTAAAAAGTGATAAAAACCTCATTTAATCATTTAAAAACATTTTTCACCAATTATAGCCAAAATGATTCATTTTCTTCCAATAATATAACCAAAGTGACTAAAAATAATATAAAATATCATACAAATATTACGTAAATTAGTCACTTATCAGGATGGTAGATGAAAAGGGACCAATCCAAACTTGGGTTCGCCTTTCCATCTCATCTTGACGGCTATAACCTTTTCCTCAACGTCTCCTTGATCTAGAGCGCAATCACTATGGTCAATGTTGCCGTCATCATCATCCGAACCTCCGAGCAGGAGGAGCTTCATGGACTTCACCTTCACCTTGTACCTTCTGGTGGCTAGAGTCGGCCACGGTGACCACTTCATCATCTTCACCATCATCCCTTCTGATTCAATTGGAATTTGATTAAACAAATCCAATACAAGCTAGTTAGTTAAAAGAAACAAAATAGGGAAGACGAAAACTAGAAAAGAGAAAAAGGAAAGATTTTGTCGTTGAGGGTTGAGGGTTGAGTTTTCTTTTTCAGTTTTTCTTGCAGATCTTTCTCTTGGAGATCTTGTTGAACAAATTGTCTACTCAAGATATTTGCCCACTGTTAACCCATTTAGATCTACTTTAGATCTTTTTTTTAAGAGATTTTGGATAAGAGATGAAGAATATATGGGATGATAGAAAAACTAATGAAGAAGAACAAGAGAGTGAGGGGCGTGTGATAGAGAGAGAGAGAGCAGAGGCGTTAATTGTATGTGATGGATAGGTCAGTCCATAAATGTTGTGCAGGAATAATTTGAGGGTTTTGTCCAAAACCCACCAATTTGTTCTGGAATGGGAGAAGTTCGATTTTTTAGAAATGATTCCAAAAAGTGCATTCCAATTGATTTAATCCAAGCAACAAATAAAGGGATTATTCCATTCCATGATTCCCAATCCCTTTAACCAAGCGGCCCCTAAGCTTATCGGTTGGGAAGGCCAGCTCAATCTTGCATATTACTAATCAAATTATCCATTGAACGTGAACTGCTTTTCCTTTTACTTGGAAGAAGGATCGATGAAGGCCCTTTCTTATTATTAAAATGTGTTTTTTTAGTAATCTCAAGGATTAATTGCCTAGAGTGTCGTTTTTAGTTTTTGGTTCACCAGGTCTTTTATTTACTAGATGTTGAATACTCAATAGGACTTCATCCCCAAGATCCAACTTAACTAATATGGACATTGGCCAAGTGAGCAAGAAGTTGCTAGTTCTGACTTTCAAACCCTTCCTTTATTACCTTTTCTATTGCAAGACCTGGAGTCTCATTTCGACTTTAAAAAAACAAAAATACTCATAGGACTGCTTTAGGCAAGCTAGGTTTAAAGAAGATCAGGAAAAATTAGAGACTTTGGAGGGGATGTTTGCTTTGTCGACATACTATGGCCTTTCCAGCAATTTGGAAGCAGAAGCAATGGCTTTTCTAGTGGATATTCGTCATTTTTTATACGAAGGATTCCAATAGGTCATAGTGGAGACAAGCACTGGTTCTACTCAACCCACTAAACGGGCTTCATTGGGTTTCTTGTGGGATCTATCATCTCATATCTCAAGGCCTCTTAACAACAGACAATGGCAGTTTTATTTTTGTTCGTTGCTGTTTTAAAGTCAATTTGGCTGTAGCATCCTAAGCAAAGATCGCTATTTGTTCGAAGTCCAGTGCTACCTTTACGTCTATCAATTTACCATCACGTGTAAAAATGATATATTAGACTAGATCAATTTCACTTTCCTTGCATTCATTCATGCACCATGAATGAGCTACAGTTTCAAGCCCGATCTTGTTAATTGATTTTATTTATTACTAGTTCCATTCCATTGAAAGTGTCATACTATTCATTTTAGAATATCACAAAATATTTGTCATGTTACTGAAATCAAAGTTACTTTTGATCTCTTTTTTTTTTCAATGTTATCCTCACGTTTATCTTTATGTCATACTAAATTTAAATTTGAATTTTGAATTTTTGAGGGCAACTTTGGAGGTAAATCCATCAACATCACTATTAAGCCACTATTTTTTAAAAAGTTAGAATCCCGAAATGCTACAAATAATTTGGGACGAAAGGAATAATAAACAGGTAGGTGCTACAAAAACCTCTTACCATATTAAGTGTTTTTCACTTTAGAAATAGTGAGAACTAACATAATTTTAATTTACATAATTTTAATTTTAAAAAATATTAAAAAGGGTTAACCTGCTTAAATTTACTAATCAGAGGAGGTAGATAGACGCAATGGTGGAACCAGATATAATTTTTATTAAGGGCAAAAACATTATTTAAATTTACTTTTGTTTCTAAAAGACATATTAATAACATTTACATATCAGATAAAAGCAATACATTTATATCGTGATTAATATAACCCAATGCAACATGCTCAAATTTACTAATCAAACAACCATTTTTAATAAAATGCATACTACACGCATTTAAATTTCCAGTTGACCTACAGTAGTCTTAGTTACAAGGTCAATAATTTTTTATTTGACTAGAAAAAAAAAAATCACCCATGATTAATGAAAAAGATCACCTTCTTTTTATTTTTAATTGAGCAGCACAACTACTTAATGCTAGACACAACATTTAACGTAATGTATTTTGTTTGTTTTATTGGAAAAAGTTCAGACAACTCATTTGACTAATGATGAGTAAATTATAAATAACTTCCACAGAAACAAAATGACTAGAGGCAAAGCTTTTGATTTTGGATTGTTTAGGATTCCAAATTCATCAAATCATAAATTAATCGCATTATACAATCCCTCCTAAATTTTTTTTGGGCAAAGCTGAAAATTTGCTAAAAATTGAAGGCATGGTAGTGCAATTTTGTGGGAGCAGTGGGGGCTGTAACCCCAGTATCCCCACTTTGAATCTATCACTGAATAGACGTTATATCAGGCCTCAAACGCAAAGTGAAAATTCCTATACTTAAATATGGCTTGGAGCGACCATTTGAGAACCAAATTTATATGTTGAGGGATTTAATAGATAATCTTAAAAGTTGAGTGCCCAAATATGATTAATTGTAAAAGTTGAGGGACAATTGGAATTATTTACCCATCTAGTTATTATTTCTGCTCTCTCACCAAGTCAACGGGAGCTTAGGCCTTTATTCTCATCCTCAAGAGCCTAAGGGCGAAAAGAAGCATAAAAATTTGGAGACCCTTTTACCGTATCTCCCTCCTCAATTTCAAACAAGGGAGAGATAAGCCCATTTTCAACCCTGTTTAATTACCTCTATGACACAGTCATGTTTCTTACCAAATGAACAGACTTAGAAGTATCAGCACATCAGGCTCAAGCTACCCATAAAACAATGCCACATGCATGAACATCCCATTTTGCCACAAGAGTAAACCAAAGTTAGATACTTAGCCACAACTTGAGTTTGCTTGTAGAAACACAAAACTTCACAAGACCTCTAACTAGCATATTCAGTGACAATCTGACTAAACTACCAGCACAAGTGGCTAAGAACATAACAAGCTATCATGACACTTCCAAATAATCAACACAATTTCCTTTTCCTTTTCCATTTTCCACATCCATTTTTTTAGATAACTTATTAACAGTTTGAAAAGAACAGTAAATCCAACAGTACAAACATAATAGCCGCAGAAAATCAATTTTGATGGGTGGACTTATACACCTATCTATATTTAGGTGTGGAATACAAATCTTTTGAAATTTTTGTGGGGACAAGAGCTTTAATTTGTGAATGACACTTTGGAAATATTCAATTTTTTAAGCAAAGAAAACCTGATCTTCTAGGACTTGTGACGCATTTACTCTCCCCCCCCCCCCCCCCCCCCCCCCCCTTTCTCTCTTTCTTTTCCCCCCACCAAAACCATAGAAAAAAAGTCCCATCCACGAGTACAGAAGATCACAAATTCCATCATTCTTCAGCAACTGATCAGATCAGTACTGACAATTTTCCAAGGCATAAAGGCTTCTCCTATGATTAGAAATGGCACTCCTCCCTGACTTATCTAATCATGTAAAAATACAAATAGACCAAATCTTTCACTATAATTACTGCCTTAATAAAAGAAAATGGAGTACGTGGAACAAAAAAATATGGGTAACCTTGTCATTTCACATGGTCACAGAAGTCAATTAACAAATTTGTTAGTTCCAATACCAATTCCCTAATCAAAATTTCTATATCCTTAGTCAACTCCAAAATCATAGTCCAAATTGTTTCTTAACTCCTGCATTATTGAGATATCCAGCATAATTAATTCATCCCAGATAAGCATATTTCCCCGAATAGATGGTTAATCCAATTTTATGTGATTAAATCAATAATCCACAAAGGTAAAAAAAAAAGTTGCACTATAATCAAAACAATTGTTCAGAAAAATGGAAAAGAGAATACCTATTAGGGATTAAGAAGCTCCCACGATGATGTTGTTAATGGGAATGAAGATCAATTTCACGAAAAACCCCACAAATCCCATCACCACGAACCCGATCGCCGTCCGCGTCGCCACCTTCGTAAATTCTACCAGCCAAAAACAAAACAATCATCAATCCAAAACAAAAAGAAAAAGAAAAAAAATCGCAGCTGAAATAATCAAAATTGAATAACAATTTTACCTTTCCGATCGGGCTTGTGGCATCTCTTGACGAGACGAACGCTATCCTTGGCGAAGTCTCTCAGCGGATCGAATACTGAATCCAAAGCGTCCATTTTTATCTTCTCTAGAAAATGAAAATCCCTTTTTTTTCCAACAAAAATGGGGAAATTTTGGGGGTGGAGAGAGGAAGAAAAATATATAGAGAAAGAGAGGGAGAGATCTGAATCAAAGAGAGAAAACGGAGATTTGACGGAGTTAAAAAACCATCAATTGAGAAAAAGTCAAGCACGTAGAAATGGCCAATCAGAATGCAAGATGAGCACTTGGCGGAGTTCTATTGGGTAGTGGATTTTGTATTATTAAGTAAATAAATAAAATAAATAAATAAGGCCCTTCTTCTTTTTTGCGCGTCGCGCGTTGTGAAAAAGTAGGGTTGGACCGGTTGTTGATCCGGATTCGATGAAGGATGAAATGAAATTACAAAAATGTGGCTAATTTATTTTATTAGCTTGTTTTTTCATATTATGGGCAAATATATTGGTTTTTTTTCTCGAAACAATATGTTTATTATTTAACCTAAATTTTGGCATTATAGTTTTTGGCTATATGGAAATAATAAACAAATGCTTGTTTTGGGAGATTTAATAAAGGATCAATGTGCTTTTGGTCCAAAACTATTAAGTTTTTCTTTCGACTATATAGTTTTGAGTCTACACCTTTGCTTCTTTAAGTTTTTCATATACACAGTTAAAGTAAAATTTTTAAAAAACACCTCCAAAAACAGTTAATCCAAACGAGCCTTTGTTTTCAACTAATCACTCTTTTGCCCCTTGGCTTTGGAATCATAGTAAGATTTTTTTTTAAAAAAAAAATGCCGTCACTATGAACATAAAATTAAGCACCCAAAAAAAAATGTTAATATCTTTGGCTCACAACAATCTCACTCTTTTTTTTAGTGGGGGGAGGGCTTCACTTCTTATTGTCAAACAAGCATCACGGGAACAAAAAACCCTCAAATATTGTGCAGGGCTTATCTTCGCTATACATGACATGAATTACCAATAAAAGTTAGGAGATTAAATGTTATTTGCACCTCACTCTTTGTCAATCGCACTCCCACCGTTTGTTTTATCATAAAGTGTACTAAATGAAAATCATAAGGTAAAAAGAAGAGTGCGATTAGCAAAAACTATAATAAGATAATAAAAATACGATAAACAAAAAGTAGAGTGCGAATAATATTTCCCTAAAAGTTAATGTCATTGGCGTTTTTTACGGTTTACGTACTTTTCACTTCTTAATAGGAAAAGATATCACAATTGTAAAGATTGTTGGTAACTACAAATATGTATGCATGCATGTATGTATACTTTGAAAACATCTCAAATAAATTATTGGATTTGATTGATCTTCAAGGATTATGCTTTTTCTAGTAAAATTATCACAGGAAAAAAAGCACCAAACGAGCTCTAAAAATTCACAAGTTTAAAATAACTAGCATTTTGACCCGTGCTATGCATGGGGTTATATTTCAAATCAAAATAATATTTTATATATTTATATATTGTGGTACAAAATAATAAGTATACATATATATATATATATATATATATATAGACTAAAAATTTTAAAGAAGTGTATGCTTAATATCTTGAAAAAAATTTAATATATAATGATTTACATGATAAAAGAATTGTTAACGCATTTAAGGAGAGGGTTAGGTTGGGTGGTAAGGTAAGAAAAGTTTTCTAAAAAAAGTCAATTTATCAATATCCGACAAAACATATTATGTTATACCCATATATCAAAACTTATAATAAAAAAATAAATTATAACCAATTTATTTTCTTCCATTTTTAGAAAAAAAATCTTTCTCGTATCTCATGCCCCTAAAATTGTTGACTGCATTTAGATTAGCATTTTTCCTAAACTTTAATGTATATTTTAAAAAAAATTCTCCGTAATGTGTTTTTAAAGTTCTCAAAATTATTAAAAATCACCATCATTTCCCTCTTCTCTTATACGCCAGCTAGTTATCAGATGCCTCCTACGACTTTCATATCCTCTATCATGATACCATCATCTTTATTATTATTATTATTTTTTTGTCATCTCTGTCATATCCCTGCAATCCCCTTTTTTCTTCTCTCCCTTCTCCGCCCATCCTTGTAACCCATATTTCTTCTTCAACCTTTCCTGCTACTTTTCAACATCTCACCATTTTCTTCCCTCACTCCTCCCCCTATGCCTAACCTCTAAATTCATATCCCTGCGACCCAATATATTTAACTTTATCTATCATAATGAAAATATAAAATTGAAAATTAATTACAATGGTTGCAATTATTAGTATCTAAAAATGGAAATAAAAAACTGATAATATCTATAATATCCTCAAGTACTACAATCAATATATATATATATATATATATTTTAACATACCAAATACATATTTACATATGAAGACAGTAATAAGAATACATAAAATAATTAATGATACCAAAAGTTATCCTTAATGTTTGCGTTTTGCACTCTTATTCAAATCTATTGTCAAATTTGGGCCATATATATACAAATTAAGTAGTATTTTAGGGTTGAATGTTCTATATCTTTCTCTTAAACTATAATATTACTTTTTAAAAAAATTTTGGTAGAGTTGGTGTTGTTATTATCATTATTTTTTTATCAAAAATGAATATTTCAAAAAAAAAGTTTCCACGTTAAAAGGCTAGTAGTACTTTATTTTTTATTTAGTGATTTCATAATTTGGATTTCATGAATGGTACCATTCTTGATTTTTTAAATCCACGACATTATTTCCTTTTTGTTTTCTATTTAATTTTGCCCTTTTACTTAGGATTACTAAATTCAAAGATAAAATATTATCATTTACTTTTTTACTTTTACTAAGTTTGACAATGTTTTCTTTTTCTTTACTCTCCCACTAATAAACTTCAAACCAAATTCCTATGTAAGCGGAGCAATTACTTTTTTTAATTAGAAAGACATGGGAGCCACTTCTTACTTAAGAAAATGTTATTTGCACTCAATTTTTTATTATTTGCAATTCCATCATTTGTTTTATCATATAGTCTAATTACTGAAAATTATATGATCAAAATGATTATTGAAGTGTGAATAACAAAAATGGAGTGTAAACAATCTTACTTATTTAAATTAATAAAAAAGTATGAAAGGATGTTATATTTGTTATCTCTTCTTATGATTTTATAGAAGTTTTAATTGTTGTAGAACCATAAATAACGCAAGGCAATCGGAAACCTGATGGGTTGAAGTTCAAATAGGATAACATGCACATCAACCAACAATTTGAAATGAAATGATTTTAAAAACTAACCAACAATTTCAAATGTGAAGAGTAGATGTGGAAGTTGAGAGAAATATATTTTATAAATTAAATTAAATGTGAAATGCTAGAAAAATGGAATTGGAAATGGGAAGATGCATGGAGGCTTGTTGCTAAAAATCCCTTCTCAAATTTATATAGATATAGATATTATATGATCGATTTAATGAATTTTAGTTTTAAAACATTATATTTTAAAGTCATTTGTAACTTTTTTTTATCTTTAATTAATAAAAGACAAAATGCAAAACTATTATGTATAAAATTTGATTTCAAGGTGTTCTCAAGGTACCCAAAAAAAAAACATTCCAAATTGCTTGAATGTTATAAGTTCTATAGATTATTTTGGACATATCAAATTTTAACTTTTAGTATGATTTTATCTTCAATCATACTAAATTATTTTAGTATGGTTTTAGTATGATTTTATTTTGGGCATATCAAATTTTAAGTGTATAGTACTTTTATGGGATTTTTGGAATTTCAAAATATAATTAGAAGTAATTTTTGTCATCTTTTTTGTAAAAGGAGTAATTTTCCCATTTTTATTGTATGTTATGAGAAATATTTTCACCCAAACACTTTTGAATGAGTATATTTATAATAGCTTTAAAAGATCTTAAATTAATTTTTTTTAACATAAAACTCAAGCATTTTGCCTTTTACCAACTAAACAAAGGCAAGAAAACCGAACAAGCTCAAACCACAACATTTTTTACGTTTTGTGAACTTCATAATGTTGTTGCCAAACATTGAGAATTTTTTGAGCTCGTTTGGCATTTTTCCATCAACTTTTAAATTGAAAACATTGTTGGAATCCTCGATGGATAGGGATCCCAAGGATTCCAAATCCACAGGAGTCTTCTAGGGACATCTAGTCTGATCAGGGCAATGTATTTATATGTTTTAACCAAGCCAAAAGTTTAATAAAAGAACTTATACAAGATCATGGATGAAACAGCATTCGATCATGATCAAAACCATGGTTCAAAGTTTCAGCCAAGTCGTCACCGGAATGGACCCCTCTGATACAATGCCGAAACTGATGTGGAACGGTCCCGGCTGCCTACGACCACGACCGTAATCGCGACTTTGAACCATGAATCAAAACATAGATGAGAAGCAATAGATGAACAAGAGAAGGAAGAAGATTCTCAGAGCAGCCATGGTTACAAGAAGTAATGGCTCAATAACCCGGCAAAAGCTGTAGCAGCAGCTGCCCAATGATTTCGTCTTTGGTTTGCTGATGAAGCTTGAAAAGGTCAAGAACCTACACAAGTACAAATGCATTTCGAAAAGCTGGTGTTCAATCATCAACAGTCCTCAGTTCTCTGCCAGTTATCGAAGTTTTCATCGCGGTGGCCTTCCGATTTCCATCCCTGAACGCATTGCCGGTCTCAGACAACTCTCTTTCTACTACTCATCCGTTCTTGTTGAAGAGCAGCCCATAGAGCCCTTCTTTTGCAGGTTTAAAATGCCTGTGTCGAAATTTTTTGGTGGAATTACAGAGGTGATCAATGGGATCACTTGTGTTTTTTATCAGAACGTTGTGTTTGTCTGCAATGTTTGTACTGGAGAAAAGATGATTCTTCCAGACCTTGTTTTCCGAGATCATAATTCTGTTAATACTAGTACAAAACTCTTTTTGGGATATGATGCTTCTAATAGCGGGGTGTATAAATTGCTGAAGCTACGCAAAGTTGAAAGACAGGGCACTGATTTTGATGAGCTTGAAGCTGAAATTCTCACTCTTGGTTGTGGCTCTTGTTCACGGAGAGAAGTACTGCAGCCAGTGGCAGGAATTGTGGTTGATGGAATTTTTTCAACAGGGTACTAAGGATGCTCACCTCGGCCATTCCCGCAGTGCCGAGGTTATTCA